TTTTTTTTTTTTTTTTTTTTTTTTTTTTTTTTTTTTTTTTTTTTTTTTTGATTGGTTGGTCGACAATCGAAAAAAGAAATAGTCCGCCATCTGGCATTGTGTAGATAGGATCTGCCATTTGTAGTATGCGCGGTGAGCGCCAGGTGGGCGGTGAGCGCCAGGAGAGGGAGAAGGCAGTGGGAGAGAAGGAGGAGTAGGAGAGGAAGAGGAGACGACGGGGAGGAGGAGCAGGCGAGGAGGAGGGAAGAGGTTGACAGGGAAGACTAGGAGGAGGAGGAGGAGTAGGAAGAGTAGAAGGGAAGGGCCGACACCGGTGAGGAATAGTAGGAAGACTGTTATTTGGTGTATTTTGAGTTGCTCTTCTGCTCTCCGTTCGAGGTCGCGATTATTTGCAGTCATATGTTTGATGCGGTATGGTTTCTGGAGCTCGCTATCACGCTTATTCACGAAAAAAAGAAATATCCAATCGGCAATCGACTCGATCGGATCGTGAAATCAAGATCCAATCGAATCAACCGAGTCGATTGGATCGTGAAATCAAGATCCAATCGATTCATTGTTTTTTTATTGATTGATTGATTGATTGGTTGGCTGATTGCACGATTGATTGTTTCAGAGTATCCAATGGAATAAATCCATTTGAATGGATTCCACTCGAATGTACCTGTTCCTGTTCCAACCTTTGATTGATTCCATTCGAATGGATTGATTTCATTGGATCTTGATTGATTGGATGTTCCTGTTCCAACCTTTTTCCTTCATTGATGGATTGATTGATTGATTGAGAGATCAGTTGATTGATTGATCGATTGATTCATTGATTGGTCGACTGATCGATTGATTGTTTAATCGACTGATCGGTTTGTTGGAAAAGGGGTCCACCATCTGGCCGACATCTGCTCGCAGTCGGGGAAGCTGCTGACGTCACCAACTACGCTTACGTAGTCTAGATAGGATCTCCCATTGAATGTCGTACTAATCAATAGCAAGATACATTGCTGATTGATGTCGTCTGACATTGTGTAAGACCGAGCTTTGACGCGTTCATTGACACTTCGTTAAGTGACGTGTTTCATCGTCCATTGTTTGTCGGTTTGAAAGGCGGAACTGTGACGAGGGCGAAGCGTCGACGAGGCTACTACATACCGCCAACCCAGTTGTGTAACTGCATCGCCCATCAACCGCCGTTGTGACATATCCGTTTAAGGTCACCACCACGATAGCTCAGCGCAACCATCCAACACCCCATCGGGACGGCCTCCCGCAGGCGGAGATGGCATCCAAAGGTATGTTACGCAGGCCTTTTTTTTTGTTTGTGTTGTGGCTTTCCATTGTTTGTTTTTTACTCCATCGTCAAAGCGGCGGACCCTCCTTAGGAGTTGTCGCGGTTGCAGCAGCTGATGGTGCTCTCTCTGGGCCCCTGTCTTCCCTCCGATGGTCCGGCGTCGTCGAGGCACCGAACCATCGAGGCGCCGGTCACAGCAGCTGCTGATGCTGCTCATCCCACTGTTGCTGTATCTGCTGCGGTTGGAGTTGTTGCGGTTGCAGCAGCTGCCGGTGCTCCTGCTGGCTCCCTCTGCTGGTGCAACTGCTGTGCCCCTGTCTTCCCTCCAATGGTCCGGTGTCGTCAAGGCGCCAGACGTTCGGATGGTCCGGCATCGTCGAGGCGTCGGACCATCGAGGCGTCCGGCACAGCAGCTGCAGACGCTGTTGTTCCCAATGCGGTTGCAGCAGCTGCTGGCGCTGATGTTCCCACTGTTGCTGTGACATCTAAGCACGGGTTGGAGTAGATGGCACAACTGTTGTGCCCCTGTCTTTCCTCCGATGGTCCGACGTCGTCAAGGCGCCAAACCATCGGATGGTCCGGCGTCGTCGAGGCGCCAGACCGTCGAGGCGTCCGACACAGCAGCTGCACATGGTGCTGTTCCCACAATTGCTGTGCCATCTAAGTAAGGGTTGGAGTAGATGCTGTGGTTGGAGTTGTTGCGGTTGCAGCCACTGCTGGCGCTGCTGTTCCCACTGTTGCTGTGACATCTAATCTGCTGATGCTGCTCATCCCACTGTTGCTGGAGCTGCTGCGGTTGGAGTTGGTGCGGTTGCAGTAGCCGCTGGTGCTCCTGCTGGGTCCCTTTGCTGGTGCAGCTGTTGTGCCCCTGTCTTCCCTCCGATGGTCCGGTGCCGTCAAGGTGCCAGACCTTCGGATGGTCCGGCATCGTCGAGGCGCCGAACCATCGAGGCGTCCGGCACAGCAGCTGCAGACGCTGGTGTTCCCGCTGCAGCAGCTGCTGGCGCTGCGGTTCCCACTGTTGCTATGACATGTAAGTAAGGGTTGGAGTAGATGGCACAACTGCTGTGCCCTTGTCTTTCCTCCGATGGTTCGGCGTCGTCAAGGCGCCAGACCATCGGATGGTCCGGCGTCGTCAAGGCGTCCGACACAGCAGCTGCAGACGCTGTTGTTCCCACTGTTGCTATGCCATCTAAGTAAGGGTTGGAGTAGATGCTGCGGTTGGAGTTGTTGCGGTTGCAGCCGCTGCTGACGCTGCTGTTCCCATTGTTGTTGTGACATCTAATTACGGGTTGGAGTAGATGGCACAGCTGCTGTGCCCCTGTCTTTCCTCCGATGGTCCGGCGTTGTCACGGCACCAGACCATCGGATGGTCCGGCGTCGTCGAGGCGCCGGACCATCGAGGCTACCGGCAAAGCAGATGCAGACGCTGTTGTTCCCACTGTTGTTGTGCCACCCAAGTAAGAGTTCGGGTAGATGTTGCGGTTGGAGTTGTTGCGGTTGCAGCAGCTGCTGGCGCTGATGTTCCCTCTGTTGCTGTGACATCTAAGTAAGGGTTGGAGTACATGGCACAACTGCTGTGCCTCTGTCTTCCCTCTGATGGTCCGGCGTCGTCGAGGCGCCGGACCATCGAGGCTACCGGCAGAGAAGATGCAGACGCTTCTATTCCCAATGTTGCTTTGCCATCCACGTAAGGGTTGGAGTAGATGTTGCAGTTGGAGTTGCTGCGCTTTCAGCAACTGCTAGTGCTCCTGCTGGGTCCCTCTGCAGGTGCAGCTGCTGTGCCTCTATCTTTCCTCCGATGGTCCAGCGTCGTCAAGGCGCCAGATCATCGGATGGTCCGGCGTCGTCGAGGCGTCGGACCATCGAGGCTACCAGCAGAGCAAATGCAGATGTTGCTGTTCCCACTATTGTTGTGCCATCCAAGTAAGGGTTGGAGTAGATGTTGCGGTTGGAGTTGTTGTGCTTGCAGCAGCTGCTGATGCTCCTGCTGGGTCCCTCTGCAGGTGCAGCTGCCGTGCCCGTATCTTTCCTGCGATGGTCCGGCGTCGTCAAGGCGCCAGACCATCGGATGGTTCGGCGTCGTCGAGGCGCCAGACCATCGAGGCGTTCGGCACAGCAGCTACAGATGCTGTTGTTCCCACCGTTGTTGTACCATCTAAGTAAGGGTTGGAGTAGATGTTGCCGTTGGAGTTGTTGCGCTTGCAGCAGCTGCTGGTGCTCCTGCTGGGTCCCTCTGCTGGTGCAACTATTGTGCCCCTATCTTTCCTTCGATGGTCTGGCGTCGTCAAGGCGCTAGACCATCGGATGGTCCGGTGTCGTCGAGGCTCCAGACCATCAAGGCGTCTGCCATCCGGCACAGCAGCTGCAAACGCTGTTGTTCCCACCGTTGTTGTGCCATCTAAGTAAGGGTTGGAGTAGATGCTGCTGTTGGATTTGCTGCGGTTGCAGCAGCTGCTGGTGCTCCTGCTGGGTCCCTCTACTGGTCCAGCTGCTGTGCCCCTATCTTTCCTCCGATGGTCCGATGTCGTCAAGGCGCCAGACCATTGGATGTTCCCGTACTGCTGACTGTCAGCAGCTTGCTGTTGTCACCGGTTCTGGACGCCTTCCACCACTCCTTCTTCTTAACCCCTGTTTGTTCCGTGTGTTACGTCGGTGTCGGATGCGGTGTTATGCAGCTGCTTGCTCCTCAGGGGTCTCTACGTCGAAGGTTGTCGGAAGGGCGGTCACATTCCAAGAGAAGTATTGGGCAATCGATTGGCACCTCGGTATGAAAATGCCGTGTTGTGGGGCAATTATTTTTTTGCGAGATGAGAGTGGCGGTTACTACCCATGCGGGGGTATCAAGATTAACTCGTTTGATAAGAACATGCTTGACGAGGAGTACATGAGATTCCATCTAACGACGTGTTTCAACATCGACGGTCACGACGTGCCTGACAATTACAAGCTCGTGTCTCTCCACGTCGAGAAGTTCCAAGGTTAAGGCATTCGCGCTGCATCAATGCCTCCGTTCGACAAGTCGAAGAAGAAGGATGCGTCGCAGATGGTGATGCTCAGGCCGTTCAAGTTCCTCAAACGCGTGAATTGCTATAAGGTGTCGAACCATATCATGACGATTGAAAACAACCTGCAGTTGTCAACTCCCTTCGTGCCCTTCGACTGTGATCTTGGAGACTTCGCAAACATGGTGCGATGTCACAAGCTGCAGGCGATGGGCCAAGCCGTTTTGCGAACTACCGTCTTTGTGAGTTCGCTAAAGGCGGTAGGCAAGAGTTGTGGGGAGCCGAAAACATCCGCCCGTATGAGCAAAAGTGGGGCTGCATCGACACAGACAAAGAGCGTGAGCAAATCAGCTTCTCTGCTCCAGCCGAAGGGTGTGTCTGCGACGCGGGCACCATCACATGCAGAATATGCGGCATGTGTTTCTTTGACTCCGACTGGTAGGGCCACTGACCATGAGGGTGACGACGAAAACATAGGGGAGGACTCGCGCTTCAGACAGTGGGACGGTGGGCAGTGGGCCGATGGCAAAGACGCAAAAGACACGGAAGGGGACAACGACGAACGGTGGTTCCGCGACGGTGCACACGATGAAGAGGGAAGCTCGGAGGATGGCTTGGCCGAAGACGATGGTAGTGAAGGCCATTAGGATGGTGGTCACGAGGGCGATGGGAGTGAAGAAGAAGAAAATGAGGATGCAAGTGACGAGGACGCCGCAGAACGGGAAGACAACTACGAAGGGGGGAGCGAAGGAGATGAGGGTGGGGCGGACGACGACGATGGCGGGAATAGAGGGTCGCAGAAAAGGCGGGAACATTCTTCCCGTGCCACAAGTCATGACGGTCCGGCAGAAGATGAAGATGTGTTGCATGGCACACAAAGGTCTGTGTGCATGCGCAAGAGGAAAATGAAATGTGGGAAAGAAGAGGAAGAGAAGCGGAGACAAGCTAAGCTCATCAGCCTACACGCCTCAAAAGAGGCTTACAAGAGATCCTTAGAGGCCCAATCCGCTAAACCAGCAAAGGAAAAGCATGAACGAACTCGATCTTCCTAGAGACCGAAGAAGAAAGCAAAGGCCGAGGAGGCAAAGGAAGTGGAGGACTCTGGGGACGAAGCGGCGGGGGTCGACCTGAGACATATAGCGCCAAAGTCTGGAGAGTTGACCAACGACACTATCTACACCACGAGATGTTTTTTCCTGGAATACGACGAGGACGGCAATGCGATAGATCTGCCTACCCAAGTGTTCGTTGACGTGGTCAAAATACTGCCCAACCCTTCGGAAGGCGTGCAATACAACCACAGACCGTTGAATGAGATGTTGGTCACCTCCATCAGGGACGTAATGGAACACCTGGAAAAGCAGAAGGAGTGGGACAGAAACACGTGGATTCTTGCTCCTGTCGTTGAAGTGCAGAAGGATGGATGGAAGCAGTGGGAACGTGTGAAGCCGGAGGAGTGGGATGATGAAAAGGTTGCCTCCTACCATCGGTACACAATGGCCGGCCAACATACAGCGGAGGCAGCAAAGAGGCTGGTAGCTGCAAAATCATCTACTGCCCACAAGTGGGGCGTGCATTCTTGGAAGGCGCGTGTTGTGTAGTTTGACGACGACCATTTGGAGGGGTATGCGTACATCTCCACGTTTGACAACACCAGGGAGACACGTGTTATCCCGTCGTCGTTTCGAATGGTTGTGACTGCTATAAGAGGAATGTGGCAGAGTATGAAAACGTCAAAAGGCGATTGGTATCAGGCAAAGACGGTGGAAGAAAGGACTGCACAGCGTGACCAATATCAGGAGTTCGTACGGAAAGCTATACGAATGACTCCTGACGCATCGTCTGGAACCAGTCGTTGGCGATAAGATTTGTGAGGAATTGGTCAAACCTTTTGAGGCCCTACATGTGTCTTCCGGCGAGCGGCATAGTTGTGTGAAATCTAGTTGATAAGTTCTTTGACAAATGGGAAAAAGGTGAATTGCCAAGGCAGAACGATATGAGACCAGTGGATCAGGAAGGGAAAGCAGGCGAGGCAGCAGGACCGGGCCCTACAGCGAAGACTGTGAAAGGCAAAAAAGTGTTGGTGCACTACGTCCAGTCCAACAAAAGTTCGTCAGGTTTCTATGTTTGCATCAATGATCCCCCCACGAGCGCATGAAAGGTATTCGACGATTTCAACTCAAGGGAGAAGGAAATGACCCTCGAGAAAATACTTGCGTGACACGTTGTTGTCACGAGTGGAAGGGCATTTGTGAAAAAACTGATGAACATGCAAGATATGTACGTGGAGGTGAGAAGAGAGAGATATATGGTTCGCATGTTTAACTATATCCTTTTCAAGATAGAGAAGAGGTCGGAGGAGGAGTGGACTGACAAGTTCTTCATTGGCTACGATACCATAATGAGGCGGTTTTCACCGCGAGGGTTGACGACGGAGAAATGAGAAGAAACCAAGTCCAAGATCATAGCAGAGAAGACTATTAATGTCCGAAAACGATTGGGCGGCGTGGATGAGGCGAAACTAGGAAAAGGGAATGTCGGGGGGCACAAGGTGACGATTGCAATATATTGAAGTGTCCATACTTCCTCAAGCTTTTCGTGCATGAGATTCTTGGCGCAGTTGACCAATTGAGGGATGAGCTGAGGCGGATCAGCTCAAATGCTCAGCACATAATGTGGGACAAACGCAAAGATCACACGACGTATCTTCCTGTCTGCATCACACCTATGGACGCACTGCACCCGACAAAAGATCTGACTCGTGCCGTGAGAAAGCTGAGTTGTCACCTTGCAGTATTGGACTTGGTTCCGTTGAAGAATCTCGACGTATGGAACGAGCAAAAGTTTCACGAGCTCCGCCAAATGATGACGGTGTTGTACAGGTCGCATTGGGCTCTAATTGTATTCAGCGCATTGAAAGTCGAGGAAACGGTGTTGAGGAACGTCTTCAGGTGGGACGGTGTGAGAGTTCTTCCAGGGCGCTGGCGTCGTTATAACGAAGCAACGTCATCCTGCGCCCAAGTTGGGAACCTTCTGTTGAGAGGGCGCGACTCCATGACCATAGTGCTACACGATACAGCGAACGACTTCAAAAAGGTCACGGTCGCAAAGCCTCGCGATAACACTCTCTTCGACACGCATTACGTGGAGGAGTTATTTGTACGATGTACAAAAGAGGCAATCAACGTGCGAGGCGATAGTAAACCTGTGTACGGGATATGAGAGAGGAAACCTGCAAAGATGAAAGACTTGTACACCCGGTTTTCGAAGGAAGGGGAAGGTGTCTTGTTACTGGGCAATGTGCAAGCAGGAAGAGAGTGGGACTTGCTTCGCTCATGACGCCATGTCGTCTCGTGCGATGGTTCCTCAAACCTGATGAAGTACTCCACTTTGTTTGTCGATCGTCACATCCACAATCCGGATAACAGGTGTCACTTTGAACGACCGAAACCTCAACATCGTGCAGACCGAGATATGTTCCTGAAGCTCATCAAAAAGAGGGACTCTCTGTGGAGCTATCTGTTCTGCAATGTACCCAAAACACGAACAGATGCAGATTATCTGCACCGTAAGGTGATAGCGATCCAACATCTGCAAGGATATCACAATGCCAAACGATGTGCAATTGAGATATTTCTTGGCCGATGTGAACATCTATGGTTTGAAAGGAAGCGAGACAAAATTGATGCAAAGGTTTACTGCGAGGTAATGGATGTTGGGGAGCAGTTTGACATAATGGACAGTGAGGAGGAGACGGAGGATGAGGAGATTGACCTGCCATTGCCGGGTGCACATCACAATGCAGTAAGAGAGGAAACGCCTTCATTGTCCGCTTTGGGTGGTCAACAAGCGATGGAGGAAGATGTTGGCGGCACTATCGCGAGTACCAGGACCGAAAACGTGATGCGCGGAACAACGCCGAACACAGGTGGTGCAATGGAAGGCAACACATCCAAGTGCGGCACGAAGGAAGCAACCCAAGGATTCGTTCGCTGGTGAGGAGAGTTCGCAATGACATAGAAGGAGCGGCGGACGGCGAGACTCAAAATGTTGCGAATGCAGACAAGGAATTAGAGGACGGTCCAGATGGGATGGACATAGAGGATGATCCCCTCTTTCACATCCCAGACGACGCCCCCAAACAACTTGCACCGGATGATAATATATCATATGACATGAAGAAGATGAAAGGAGGACCTCACTTTCTAGACGTAAAGTACAAAGAGTAAACATGAACACGAGTGCGGGCATCACATCGTATGGCATCCAGGTTTTTTCGAGCCTTGTGTGATTGATGGCAGATGGCACATGGCTATCCGAATGGGTGAGAAATGGGTATTCAGGGAAAGAGTCCTCAGGAGCAGGTTTTATGAAATCATGAAGGACAACTTGTCTACACGCGTGAAGCAGGCGAACAAAGATGCGCCAGACCACAAAATATAAAACAAAGTGAACTCGTTGTTCGAATTCCTGCGTGAAAATCACCTTCTCGAGTATTATGTTGCGTTCTACGACAAGAAATTGAGTCCGTCGTATGGAGTTGTCATATGGTTTGTGGACTACCGTGCAACGGACTGTATGTTCGACAACGACATACTTCTGGGATGCAGTCAAGGCCTTGAGGGACACAGGTGCAGGGAAGAAGATCGATTCCGCAGCAGCAGGAGGTGGTGGCGAGAGTGTGGCAGACAAGGAAGGGCATATCAGGATGCAAAACACAAAGGGAGATGAGTTCGCAGACCGGGCATCGAGCACACCGCAACCAACACTTAGACCGTCAGAAGGCATCAGTGGAGTAGGAGCCAGAAGTGAGACAACACCAACAGCAGGTGGGGAAGTTGTTGCACACGTGCATGGCGACAACGGGAAGGACGAAAAGATTGAAGAGGACCAAGGACAAAAAGCATCAGACGAAGAAGGGTCAAAATTTCAGGCACATGAGGGAGTGAAGGCGGTGACAGGGAATGTCGATTCGCATTCCAAGGAGTCGCATACGACTATCATCACTGCACAGGCGCAAGGCATCGACGGAGCCACCAGGGAGCAAAGTGCGCATGAGAAAGAAGGGGGGAAAAGGCCAGTGCATATGGAATGCACTGGTCCAGGAACGCAAATAGTTTCGGAGTCAACAATGGGAGAAAGGAAAGTTGATTTGGAGGGTGTCAGTGCGGTAGAGCATGAAAAGGTTCCAAGCACGGCAAACAGGGAGAGGGGGAAGGAAAATGAGAAAGAAGAGGAGGCGGACAGGAGTCGGAGTGTGATCAACTTGGTGGACCAGTCAGGTGAGAACGAAGAAACATCTGATAAGGAAGAAGCAAAAGAGTCGAGAAAGGAGTTTCAAGAAAGAGAGCGTGATTTGAGCGAAGCGAGTGAGGGAATATGCGGTAGGAAAAAAAAAGCATGCAAGGAAAAAGAGGAATGGACAATGCGACGTTCAAAAAGAGGCAGGGAGAAGAAAGCACATTACAAATTATAGTGCATATCTGTACATGGGTGTCTGCTTGCATTCACAGTCGACGGTAGATGTGTGTGTGTGAGAGTGTGTGTGTGTGTGTGTGTGTGTGTGTGTGTGTGTGTGTTACATCACCAGTGAGGATGGGATTTTAGAGTATGAAACAATGAGTGAGAGGCGTGATTTATATGTCGCTTGTGTTGGTCAAGTACATATTACATTTTGAGTACGCATCAAGTTTTTGACATGGAAATGAAAGCGTGGAATGCACAAATTATATATAGATTGTGTCGATCGAGAAAAAAACAGCAGTTTGTATATCAGATTATGTTATTTCTGTATGGAGAGCGCGAGACGAGTTCAAGAATTTCACATTATTGCTACCTTCGGTGTATGTAATGATGAAGTTCTCTCTCTCTCTCTCTCTCTCTCTCTCTCTCTCTCTCTCTCTCTCTCTCTCTCTCTCTCTCTCTCTCTCTCTCTCTCTC